TAAAATATTTAAAAAAATTTAAACATCAGGGGGCTGGAGTGATTGCTCAGTGGTTAAGAGCACTGGCTGCTCTTGCAGAGGACCCAGGTTTGGTTCCCAGTACCCACATGCAGCTAGTAGCTGTCAGTAACTCCAGTTTGAGGGCATCCGACATTGTCTTCTGACCTCTTGGGCTTTGCATGTATGTAGTACACTTACATACACACAGACAAAACATGTATACACACAAAATAAATAAATATAAGAAAAATAAATAAATAAATCAATAAATAAAGGAGTGAGGTACTTGTATACCCAAATGCTAACCTCCTTCCTAGCTACTTTTTTCTGGCTTCCAGTTTCATTTTCTTCTCTCCCTTTTCCTTTCTTCCCTCCTCCCTCTCTCTTCCCTCTTTTGGTGATACAAAAGTAGCTGGTACTCAGACCTCTCCTGCTCTTGCCTTCCTTTCTCACTGGGTACTTCTTATTCTTGGCTGCTGTCAGAACAGTTTGCCCCTTCCTGCTATATGATGTTTCTCCTTTGTTCTGATTTTGTTTCTGGCTGCACTTCCTAAGGAGACAGCATTGTACAAGTTCTGGAACCAGACTGCCCACATTATATTCCAGCTCTGCTTCTGCTAGTTGTGTCTTTTATCAAAGTAACTGATTATGTGTATCTGAGTTTCCTTATCTCTACAGTGAGTCCCTCTTGAGGCTAAATGCTTTCAGAATTTAGAATTTTGGGGACTTAAAAAAGGTAATGTAGGGATTAGAGAAATGGCTCAGTGGTTAAGAACATGGACTGCTCTTGCAGAGGACCCTGGTTTGATTCCTAGCACCCACATGGTGGCTAATCACTGTCTGTAATTCCAGCTCCAGGGCATCTGACTTCTTTGCGTAGTGCACGACACAGGTATACTTACATACATGCAGATAATACTCTCATACGCATAAAATAAAAAATAATCTGGGTATGGTAGTGCACACCTCTCAGGAGGCAGAGGCAAGCGGATCTCTGAGTTTGAGGCCAGCCTGGTCTACATAGCAAGTTCCAGGCTAGCTGTGGCAACAGGAAGACCCTGTCTCAAAAAAACCAAAAAAAAAAAAAAAAAAAAAAAGGTTATGTGATATGTGTGCCTTTTAATGTAACATTCTCAGAGGGATATAGGCAATATCTCCAGTCAAACATATCCGTCATTTTGACACAAAACGAGTTGAGTTTTCACAAGTAGTATAAAGAGCCAGCCTCATTTCAGGATAGGAGTTGCCACCTGACGAATTTTAGCACAATGCTTAAGAAAAAACAGTCTGGGCCTAGAGAGATGACTCAGTGGCTAAGAGCACTGGCTGCTCTTGCAGAGGACCTGATTTCGGTTCCTAGCACTTACATGGCAGCTAACAACTGTCTGTAACTCCAATTCCTGGGGATCCAATGCCCTCTTCTGACCTCTGCAGGCATTGCACAACATGGATGCACTCACATACATGCAGGCAATACACTCATATACATAAAATTAAAAAAAAAACAAAACGACCCAGTCCATTTGGATTCAGCATTTTGGACTTCAGAATTATGGTTAAGGAGATTGAGAGCATGCGGACTCTCACGGGGTAGTTGTGATATGTATGTGTGGATAGATCTGGAAGTGTGCCATGTACTTTGTGTAGCTGCTACTGTGATCGTTGGTAATGTTACTGAAATTATACGCATCCCTCAAGGCTCATTTCACACTTCTTTTCCATGAAGCCTTTGCTTTCCTCTTACACTTCCTGGGTGAGGTTCTGCTTGCTTGCTGTCTCTTTCTCTGTGCCCCCCCTCCCTTTTCCTGTAGTCCCCTCCTTCTGTCTTTCCTGCCCTCGTACTTGCCTTTTCTTTTGATAGTTCTACCTTTGCATTTGTAGCTGCTGTAACTTCTGATTGTAAGACTAAAGCCATGCATGGTGGCTCACACCTGTAATCCCAGCACTCAAGAAGCAGAGGAAGGAACAGGTATATCAGGAGTTCAAGGCCATCCTCTGCTAAATAGCAAATTTTAGGTCAGCCTGTTTTACATGAAATCCTGTCTCAACCTCCTGCCTCAAACACACATACAAACCCCACAAACAAACAAACAAACAAAAACTTGAGGTTCTTTTGTCCATGGTTAGAGTTGTGTAACTCTACACGGTCGGTGCTCCTGGAATTGTGTGGTACAGCAGCTCTGACAAAACCCAGAATCTTATTCATCCTGATTCCCTATAAGTGGATGCATTGCACATAACAGATGTTCAATGAAGACTTGTTGAGCCTAGTTGAGCTTCACAAGAGGCACAAACAGGATTCCATTAAGATATTTGCCATGTCATTTTGTTTGTTCATGCCTGGCTTTCAGAAGACTAAATTTGTTTATAGAGATTGAGCCTTTTCTTTTTGGATGCACATGGTCTTCCAGAGAAGGCAGCAGGTGCTGATGGAATGTTGGTTGGATGACTAAGTGCCAAGTCGTGACAGTGATTTAGTGGTAGATTGGTGGGGGAGTTGATGAGCTTATCATAAAAAAACAATGCTAATTTTATTTTGTCTTGATTTTTGTGGTGGGTGGGACTGAGCAGCCAACAAGGAGAGCCTGCCAGAACTGAGCACAGCTCAGCAGAACAAGCTGAGACATCTTACCATCGTGAGTTTGGCATCAAGAATGAAGGTACTGTCCTAGCCTTTCTTGTCTTCACCCGAACCCCAACTCAGGTGTCTCATTTGGAATCTCAGATCCTAAATGCATGAAATTTAGTTCACGGAGGAAAAAAGAGAAGAATATAAGAATCAAAATGGTGTAGATAGTCATTCCACATTCTGTTCTGGAAAAGCATGCCCTGCAGAGATTGATTCATTAGGTTTCTGTTCTGGCATGCTGCATGGCTTCATGTGGGGTAAGCATTTTGTCATGTAAGGGGAGCCTGCTGTTGAAATGCTCTTTAAAGCTACATACTTTGCTTTTTGTAAAATTTAACTTCTTTTGATTTCTTGTGTCAGTGTTGTCTGTAATTGCACCTTTGTTGTGCAGTGCCTGTGGAGGCCAGAAGAGGGCATTGGATCCCCTGGAACTGGAGTTATGGATGTTTGTTAGCTGCCATGTGGGGGCTGGGAACTGAATACAGGTCCTTTGTAAGAACAGCCAGTGTTCTTAACCATTGGGCTATTTCTCAGTCCCAAGATATATATTTTTACACAGCAGTGTCTTTTTTGTTTTTGTTATAGTTGGACAGACTCTCATAGAGCCCAGACTAGCCTCAAACTTACTATGTAGCACAAGTTGGCCTCAAATCATGGCAGTCCTCCTGCCTCATGCTGGGATTACAGATATGTACTTCCACACCTGGCCTCAGCATGGCATCTTGCAGTCAGTTAACAGCTTCCTATATTGCCCAGTGGACAGCCCAGTTGTGCTCATGCTAGAGGAAGAAGCTCTTGGACTTATTGAGAGTTAGAGTCTGTTTACTTATTTTGATTGAACCCAAGGCCTTAGCAAATACCTTTATCACTGAGCTACAACCACTAGTCCAGAGAGGTAGATTCTAATAGTCTTTTTTTTTTTTTTTTTTTTTTTTTTTTTTTTTTTTTATTAATTACATTAATTGGATTTTTTGCCTTATATACTAATTCAATTTTTATGTCATTATTATTACTTTTTCATATACTAACATTAGATCCTATCTAGTAAGATTCTACTACATCATACCTGCAAGTTCTCTGCCTCAGCTGATTATGAAGCCTTGCAGCCAGTTGACTCCAGCCTTTAATAAAGAGGGTCCAAACTTCATTAATTTGTAGTTGGCTTTGGTGCTCTGCCTGCTCCTTACCTGTGTCTGTTTGAAAAGTTTGCCTTTTGCATTTCTTCTCTGTTACAGAGACAAACGTATATTTGTTCCTTGATTGTCTTTTCAGTTGTTGAAATAATTTGATCTGATCACAGATTTATGATTCTCAGCCTGGTATTTCAGGTGGGAGTCTTCTTCCTCCCTTCCTCCTACCCCCTGTTGTTCTGAGGATTAAATTTAGGGAATGGAACTCAGTGGCTCATACATGCTTGGCAGGCACTCTGCCCCTGCACCACATTCCCAGCCTAGGCAGCCCTGTTTTCTTGGGGAATGAGGGCACCAAGACCTTTTTCTTTTCCTGATCATGGACTTCTCAAGCATGCTAAAGAGTGGGATGGCTCTTTCTTTCCTTCTGCAGCCTGTCACTTTATCCCTACCCACCTAGAGAGCATGCTTTCAAGCTGTAGTTACGTTTGCTGTTTTTCTCTTCTGTGTGCATCTTTCTCTTGTTTCTACATATTTGCTCACTTTATTTCTCAGGTACTACTGATGTAGAAGATTTGCAGAAAACAAATATTTAGACATTGTATTTTCTTAGTCATGTAAAGTGTTGAAGGCTATTGAAGGCTAATTTTGGAGATTTGGTACTGGTTGCAATAGTTTAAGGAAACAAATACAAACTTTAGGATAACCTATGAGCTGGCTAGCTCCATTGGCTACTGTAGATAGTGGATGTGTTGGCCTGCAAGGTCTTTGTGTGTGTGTATGTGTTGTTTTGCTATACCTCTGCTGGGCATCTCTAGTATCTGTTAGAGGTTTGTGATCATTTGGCATTTTAAAAAAAATATTTTATTTATTATTTTTATTTTATGTGTATGAGTGTATTGCCTGCATGTATGTGAGTGCGCCTGTGTCAAGCAATGCCGCAGAGGTCAGAAGAGGGCTTCGGATTCCCCTGGAACTGGAGTTAAGGACGGTTTGTAGCCACCATGTGGGCACTGGGAATTGAACCCAGGTCCTCAGCAAGAGCAGTCAGTGTCTTAACTGCTGAGCCATCTCTCCAGCCCCTCATTTGGCATTTTATGCAAAGTCTGCAAGCCCCCAGAAGGTGGCAGACTGGCGCATACTGAGTATTATCCCTTTCCTTTGGAAGGAGAGCTTAGAATCTGTCATGGTATGCTGCAAGATGGGGAAGCTAAGAGCTGGGTCAAGTTCAGGATGCAGAGAACTAGGAGTGTACCTTCTTGGGTGCTGTAGGGTCTTGTTTGGGTCTCACAGGTCCCACAATTTATCCATCTCTCATTGTTTTAGATATTGATGATTACCACTGCCCTGAATTGCCTGAGCATAAAGGCAGCTACTGGCTATGTGGCTAATTCCTGCTTTTTGTAATGCTTGCCAGTGATTTTTGTAACTGTCATATGACCTTGTCCACAGTGTATCCCCTACTCTGTGCTGCTGAAGGACCTGGAGATGAGGAATCTTCGGGAACTAGAAGACCTTATAATCGAGGCTGTCTACACTGACATCATCCAGGGCAAGCTGGATCAGCGAAACCAGCTGCTGGAAGTAGATTTCTGCATTGGCCGTGATATCCGAAAGAAAGATATCAGCAATATTGTCAAGACCTTGCATGAATGGTGAGGCTTGGAGAAGGAGGGGGATAGCTAGCATGCCCTTTGTGCTCTCCTTGCAAAAAATGTGTTCTCCAGAAGTAAAACAAGGCTTTGGAGTAGGTCTTGGGGTTGCCAGGGAGCTGGGGCTTTAGGACAGTGAGCCAGAGAGAGAGGAGCTGCATTTGTGATTATAGCTGTGTGGCATCAGGAATCATTCCAGGCCTCGTAGTATCTGGGTTGCAAAATTGATTGTAAATGCAGCTGGGCTATTTAATGGTGGACCCTAAAATACTCAGATGGAGGCTTTAATCCCAGCATTCGGGAGGTGTATCATTGAGGTGGATCATCTAGTCTGCATAGTGAGTTCAAGGCCAGCCAGGGCTACACAGTGTTTTGTTTTGTCTCAAGAAACAAGGCCAGGTGTGGTGGCCCATGCTTTTAGTCCCAGCACTTGGGAGGCAGAGGCAAGTGGATCTCTGTAAAATTGAGGCCAGCCTGGTCTATATATTGAGTTCCAGGCCAGCTGGGACTACAGGGAGACCCTGTCTCAAAAAGACAAAACTAGGGGCTGTAGAGCTGGCTCAGTAGTTAAGGGCATTGGCTGTCCTTGCAGAGGACTCAGGTTTGATTTCCAGCACCCACATAGCGGCTAACAACTGTCTGTAATTCCAGTTCCAGGGGATCCAACGCCCTCTTCTGACCTCTACAGGCACTGCACGACACAGATGCACTTAAATACATGTAGGCAATATACTCATACACATAAAATAGAAATAATGAATAAAATATTAAAACCCCAAACAAAGACAACAACAACTCAGGTGAAGATGCAGACTGTCTTCACATCCTAGCCATGTGGCACTAAATCTGCACCTTCCAGACACAAACTCAGTTTGACCAAGCTCAGGAAGTGTTGTCAGTAACATATTGAACTGGTGTTGTAAAACATTGTGAGAGATATATTGCAAACAAAGAACAGACCTTTCTGATTTGGAACATAGATACATAGAGTATTATTTGATGACTATATCCAAGTACGTAAAGAATTGGTCAGCCAGATATGTTGACACATGCTTGTAATCCCAGCACTCAGAGGCCAGAAGCATTATTAATTGGAAGCCAGTTGAAGACTGTTTAAAAAATAAGAAATAATTGGGCCAGCCTGGTCTCTGTAGTGAATTCTAGGCAGGCTGGGACTAAAAACAAAAAGCAGTAACGAAACAAAACAAAAAAGTAAGAAAAAGAACTGGGGCATTTGAGTATACTCTCATTTTAGTGGAATTTAATGTTTATGAGAGCATTATTCATTCTACAAGGATTTGCTACTGAGGTATTTAAATGATTGGGAGCTTATGAAGCCAGAGCAGTTTAGGGAAATTTTGAGGGCAATCCAGGAATAGATCATTATTGGAAATGAGGAGAGTATTCCCAGGTAGACTCATGGGATGCTGTACGTCATGGGGTGGCCAGCTTTGTGCAGGGGGATAGAGAAATTGCTTTGCTTTTTTGAGACAAGGTCTCATTTTGTATCTCAGGCTAGCCTGGAACTAACGCTGTATCCCAGGCTTGCCTTGAACTTGTAGAGATACTCTTGCCTCAGCCTCTCTTGGGATTATAGGTTTGAGCCACCATGTGCACATTTGAAAATTGGTTTTTATTTTTTTCTTAAATTGGGGCTGGAGAAATGGCTCAGAGATTAAGAACACATGCTGTTTTTCCAGAGAACTCAGGTTCAGTTCCCAGCACTCATGGAGGGTAACTGTCCGTAACTCCAGTTCTCTGTCAGTAACTCTGATACCCTCTTCCGGCCTCTTTGGGGATTGTATGCATGTGGTACACTTATATACATGCAGGCAAAACACTCATACAAATAAAATAAAAATAATAAACCAAATTGAATTTCTGGATTATCCCCATGTGAACAAAGTCAAGCCATGAATGACCCAAATTTGATCCCCTGGGGTCTGATATCTCTCAGTTTTCTCTCTGTTTAGTCCTCCAAAAGACTAAAACTATCAAATGAAAATAAATTTAGAAGCCAGGCATGGTGGCGCACGCCTTTAATCCCAGCACTTGGGAGACAGAGGCAGGCAGGTCTCTGAGTTCAAGTCCAACTGGGGCTATAGGGAGACCCTTTCTCAAAAAGAAAGAAAATAAACTTAGAAAACATTCCTAAATAAAAATAGCCTGGCATGCCAGGCGTGGTGGTGCACGCCTTTAATCCCAGCACTTGGGAGGCAGAGGCAGGCGGATCTCTGAATTCAAGGCCAACCTGGTCTACATAGTGAGTTCCAGGACAGCTGGGGCTACAGGGAGAACCTGTCTCAAAAAGACCAACCAACCAAACAAACAAAAATAGCCTGGCATATAAAAATCTAAATGTTACCATGCCTGGTCTGTTTAAACAGTTTGAAATGAAAGTGAAGATACAGCAATTGGGAAATAGCTTCAAATTCTGAGGAAAGAACAATTTCTAAAGTAGTATGCTTTTAGGAAAGAATTGTTTTGTTGTGGAAAGGGATTAGTCAGTTACCTGTAGAGTCTTAAAGGCTGTAAAACTATTTCCTATGGACAGTAAAGGTTAGAAATTAGAACTGTGTTCTAAGAAACTACCCACAAGCCACTGCAATTTTGGCCTGTGTTACATATTTAGACAAGCTGTGTGGAAGGAGGGAAGGGACAGCAGCCCTGGCAGAGGAGGTGCTAAAGGAAGTCCTTTGAAGGGCTCGGAGGCTTTGGGAGGAGCGTCTTGGGGCTGGACTTCCTGGGCCTCTCTACAAAGGGGGGCTGGGATTCTCCATTGCAGGTGTGATGGCTGTGAAGCGGTTCTGCTGGGCATTGAGCAGCAAGTTCTGAGAGCCAACCAGTACAAAGAGAACCACCACCGGACTCAGCAGCAGGTGGAGGCAGAGGTAAAGAAGAAGGGCACGTTGTTTCTCTCCAGGGTGTGACTAGATATTCCTTTGCAGTGTTTTTTTTTTTTTTTTAACAAAATTGTTCTTGATATATTTATGAGTGTTCTGCCTGTCTGTGTGTAAGTGCACCATTGTGTGTGCAGTGCCTGTAGAAGCCAGGAGAGGATGTCAGATCCCCTGGAAGTGGAGTTATGGAGGGTTGTTAGCCACCGTATGGGTGCAGGGAACTGAACCCATGTCCTCTGCAAGAGTGGCCAGTGCTCTTAACTACTGAGCCATCTCCAGCACTGTGTTTTTGTTTTTGTTGTGTGTCTTGGTGTGAATGAAATGAACAGTCCCCTAAATAGGCATTGGGTTTGGTACTGCTCTTATGAAGACCTGAGTTTGGTTCCCAGCTGTTAACTCCAGCTCCAGGAGATTCAAGGACTTCTTCCAACCTCTGACCTTTCCTAGCATCTGCACTCACATGCACATACCCATACACTCCATGTACAAAATTAAAAATAAATCTTTAAAAAAATGAATAGAAGGTGAGGCTAGGGGTATAGCTCACCAGTGGAGTGCTTACCTAGCATGCTCAAAGTCCTGGGGTTCAGTCTCTAGTACTGCCTAAAAAGGATGGTAACTATTTGCTGAAGTTGGGGAAGGTTGCAGGTAGGAAAGAACACATGGGCCTTAAGGCCTGATAATGTACTTCTTAAGTGGTATGATAGATGTGTAGTATTCATTTTATTCTCCAGATCATAGTCTCCAGACTGTATATTATAAACATTTTGTTTTTGTTTTGTTTTTGAGACATGGTCTAACTCTGTAGCCCAGGCTAACCTCCAAATCAATCCTGGTGCCTCAGCCTCCCAAGTGCTTGGATTACAGGTATGAGCCACCGTACCAGACTGTAAACTTTTTTTTTTTTTTTTAAATTTTATTTATTAGTTTTATTTTATGTGAATGTATGTATTGCCTGTATGTAGGTAAGTGCACCCGTGTCGTGCAGTGTCCGCGGAGGACAGAAGAGGCTGTCGGATCCCTGGACCTGGAGTTATGGACAGTTGTTAGCTGCCATGTGGGTGCTGGGATTCAAACCTGGGTCTTCTGCAAGAATAGTCAGTGTTCTTAACTGCTGAGCCATCTTTCCAGCCCCCAGACTATAAACTTTTAAAATGCACAATCTATTTCTTATTTAATGAAAAGGGAAAATTCAGTAAATGAAATGAAGATAAGGATGTGAGTATGGTTTTAGTGATATCTGGTTGTTTAAGATGTGTTTTGTTGTTGTTTTTTATGTGTATGTGGGTATTACCTGCATGTATATAAGTGCACCTGTGTTGAGGGCATCAGATCCCTGGAACTGGAGGTACAGAGAGTTGTTAGCTGCTATGTGGGTGCTGGGACCCAAACCGAGGTCCTCTGCAAGAGCAGCCAGTACTCTTAACTGCTGAGCCATCTCTCCAGCTCCCTGTTCAAGTTGTCCTCTTGGAGGGACACAGACTCCACCCTTTAATAGGACAGGGAGCCATCAAAATCAGAAGCACTGGCTTTCGTGTTGGAAATCCTTTCTTAGTGTGACTGGGACTTGAAGTATTAGTGGGACTGAATCAGGTCCTAAGAATGTGGCAGAGAGGGGCCTGGAATTCAACTAAGAAATAGAAGGAATGAGTAGATATGCCTGCCTTCAAAGTGGAATCTGAAATTGAGAGAAATCCTGTGCTTATGAAAATGAAACCGTGTCTTATTTGTCTTTGTAAAGCAAACTCCTTGTTCCATGCCTCACCCAGAGCAGGTGTTGATCTGAATATTCTACACATGCTGAATGCATGTCCATAGACTGCCCAGCTAGAGCTAAGTGTTCTCTCCAGATATATATACTTAAATTTTTATTATGTGTATGAGTGTTATGTGGGAATGTATATAGGTGCACCCATGTCAGGCAGTGCCCACAGAGGACAAAAGAGGGCATCAGATCCCCTGGAACTGGAGTTATAGATGGTTGTTAGCCACCATGTAGGTCCTGGGAACTGAACCCAGGTCCTCTTCAAGAGCAGCCAGTGCCCTTAACCACTGAGTCATCTCTCCAGCCCCCTGTGATCCTTTTTTAAAAAACCTAGAGCTCTTGGAGATTTCTCCTACTTCTGCCTTCCAAGTGCTGGAAACATAGGTATAAGCCACCATGCCCAGCTCTAAGCTCCATTGCTCCATTTTCTGTTTGCTCTTTTTTTTTTTTTTTTTTTTTTTTAGTAGTTAAGGTCTCACTATGTAACCTTGGTTGGCTTAGAACTCTCTGTGCAGGCCAGGCTGACCTGGAACACACAATGCTACCACTAGGCCTCTTTCCTGTTTCTTTTCCTCCCTCTTCTTTCTCTTTCTCTCTCCCCTCTCCCTTCCTTTTTTTTTCCCACTTCTCTGTCTCTTTGCCTGTCTGTCTCTCTTTCTTGTGTGTGTGTGTGTGTGTGTGTGTGTGTGTGTGTGTGTGTATTTTGAAGAGTGATCACATGCAGATTTATTATAGGTGTGACCTATTGGGAAACACAGCTACCCTTGCTGTCAAAGCCCAATACTGCTACCAGGGGCTGCTAAAGACTTAAATTTGAGAGAAAGAAATCTGAGGAAAAGGGCAAGGCCACCTCTACCACCAGTTAAAATAATCTGTCCATTTATTAGTCTTCTAGAAAACTTAGAGCAGACTGGTGTGGAAGAGAGAGGGCAGAGCTCAGAGCCTTGTTCGTTTTCCATTCAGCCAGTTCATGGTCTGGCACCAAGTGTAGGTGCTGATCGTCCCTGGCCTGAGGCATACTTGAGGTGTCACCACATATCCACTTGAAGAGAAAACAGACCTACAAAGAACAAAGGTAATTCTGTCATATCTTGCACGTTTTTGCTTCTGTTATAGTTTACCTCACATTTGTAGCCATTTTCTTAACTGAGTAGATGAATTTTTTTTCATTTCTTTTTAAATTACATTGTTGTCCTCAGAGGGAGAAACTTAATGTTTTCCTTCCAAATCTTATAACAATTTTCTGGTGAGTTGTGCCTTACAGAGCCTCCTTCTGAGTGTAGTCAGCCCTGTCACAAACTGCCTGAGAATATTCTCTCATTTTAGCCTTTTATAGAAATAACATTATTTAGGTATAAGTCAGCATACCTGAGGGAGATATAATGGAACAGTAACATTTTGAGCCTTTTTGCTGTCTCTGAGCAGTTGCCCTGGAGGGAAAGGAATGATTTGTTGTAGCTTCACAAAGACCCTCTTCATTTACATTTGATTTTGGAATTTATTTTTCTTTATATTTCAGTGTGCCCATGTCTGGTGTTCTGTGGAATGTTAAGATATAGCTATTGTTATACATTCACAAAATAGGCTATGTTCCACTCACGTAGGTAATAAAACAAAAAAGTAAGCTGTATTTTTTTTATTATGTAGAAAATCCCTCAGGAGTTAAGTTGGTGACAAATCTTGAGACTTGTTCGTTGTTACAGTGTGCTTAAACCGTGCCTCCTGGGCACCTCATTGAGTGTAATTCTCACCATCTTTCACATCTTTGTAGCATTTTTCTAACTGAACTTGTTATCCTATTTTTTTTTTTCCTTGCATAAAAGAAAATGCAGCCCAGGACCATCTTCTTGTCTCAACCTCTGGAGTGCTGGGACTGCAGTTATGTGTCACCACATCTCTGTCTTGTCTGTCTCTGCTTTGCCACCCTCATCCCCTCCCCGCCAGCTGAAGGGAGTTTCTGGTCCTGGGGGGCTCTTCACTCTTCTTTTACTGAGTATTTAAGGTCTCTGATGTCCAAGGCTTCATTTTTGCTAGCAGGGGCAGGCCCACTGGAAAATCCAAAAATTCTCATGTTTTGAAAACAAAACAAACCCTAGGTCACTTGGGGGTAGGTGGGGCAGAGAGAGCCTATGAGTAGCCAAGTAGCCAGCCCTTTGAGGAAGGAAATCAGAAGGGGTCTGGTCAGATTTAGGCCAAAGAAGACAGGTTTTTGGGAGTATTTGTAGTCAGTTGGAGAGGAATTGGAAATGTCAAAGTCCACAAGGTTAAAATAGGTTTAAGTGCCTACACTTAAGTCTGTCTACCTCTTGGTAAAAGCTCTAATCTCTGTCTCTCTGTCTCTGTCTCTGTCTCTCTGTCTCTCTGTCTCTGTCTCTCTGTCTCTCTGTCTCTCTCTCTCTCGCGGTGCATATGTGTTTATGTTTGTGAATGGGTGGATGCATGTGTCTGTGGGTGCTGTATCATGCCTGGCCTTTTTTTTTTTTAATGTGGGCTCTAGGGATCAAGCCCAGGTTCTGGTGCTTACAAGGCAAGCACATTGCCAACTGTGCTATCTCCTCAGCCCATTAGTTGACTTTCTTTTGGTCTTTTTTTTTGAGATAGGGTCTCCCTGTAGCTCCAGCTGACCTGGAACTCATTAGACCAGGCTGGCCTTGAACTCACAGAGATTCACCTGCCTCTGTCTCCCAAGTGCTGGGACTAAAGGCGTGCACCACCACGCCTAGCCTTTAACATAGTTTTTTTTGTCTTTTTGAGACAGGATCTCCTTGTAGCCCCAGCTGTCCTGGAACTCACTATGTAGAGCAGGCTGGCCTCGAACTCACAAAGATCTGCCTGCCTCTGCCTCCCAAGTGCTGGGACTAAAGGTGTGGGCTACCACGCCCGGCATAACATAGTTTTTAAGCATGGGGTTAAGAGAAGGAAATTGGTGCTCAGAAACAAAGTTGACATGGAGAGCAGGGGTGTGGGCTTCTTGAAGAGAGAAACTAGTTGACTTCTAATAATCCTTTTGTCATTAGAGTCATCGGCTCAAATATCAGCAATATAGCCACTTGAGCATAGCACCCCTGGGAGCCAGTGTAGGCCACGGTTCTCTCCTTGTTCAGTGTGTGGGTCTCAGTTCTCCCCTGCTCAGTGTGTAGGTCTGCAAGTATAGTATGTACTGTTAACTGCTGAGCCATCTCTCCAGCCCCCTCAAGCTGAGTTTTAATGGAAGAGAAAAACCCCATTTCTTGTTATAAAGGGACACTTGCCCAAGAAGCCATTTTCTCATTCTTAGTGCTTACATTTTGCTTCTAAGTGGTAGCTACTGTTGGGGACTAAAATTTATCCACAGTCTTACTGGAGGAGTTAGATGTGTACACCTGACCCAATGGTGTAGAGAAAACTGCTTGAGGAAGTAAATAGGTGCTGGAATGAGGAGGGAGGGTGCCCCTGCTTCTTTCTTCCTTAAAAGAATTTGACTGGGGGCTGGAGAGATGGATCAGCAGTTAAGAACACTGGTTGTTCTTGCAGAAGACCCGGGTTCGAATCCCCGCACCCACAATCACCTGTAACCCCAGTTTCAGAGGATCTGACGCACTCTTCTGGCTTCCATGGGCACTGTCCTCATGTACTTCATGCAGGCAAAATACTCATACACATAAAATTTTTTTTTTCTTTTTTTTTTGTTTTTGAGACAGGGTCTCCCTGTAGCCCCAGCTGGCCTGGAACTCACTATGTAGACCAGGCTGGCCTTGAACTCACAGAGAAGATCTGCCTGCTTCTGCCTCCCAAGTGCTGGGACTAAAGGTGTGGGCCACCACGCCTGGCAAATTCACATAAAATTTAAAAAATTCACATCATGACAAATGATTAAGTAGTGAAATTTCCTTTCATAATTCAGTCAACTTTTTCAGTTTTTCTATTCTAATTTACCTTGCTGCTGTTCCCCCCACCCTCTGCTTTCTTTTTCTTTTCCCAGCAGTAGCTGCATTGACAAGATTCTTGCTAACACTCAGCAAAAACTTGTTAGTTTCTAGTGTCTTGCTTCTTAACATTTTGTCATCTTTGGGGAGCCTTCAGACAAACTCCTTCAGGTACTGTTCAGTTGTGGAACCTTCTTACATCTTTGAAGTCAGAGGTAACTGGCTGCAGAGAATTAAACTTGAATCATGTGTTACTCTTTATGAAAACTTTAATCTTCCTTCTAATGCTTAGAAAGCATATCAAACTTGAAAAACCTTGGAATGTTATTTTATGAAACAATGGTACTTAAGAAATGACATTTCAGCTGGGCGTGGTGGCACACTCCTTTAGTCCCAGCACTTGGGAGGCAGAGGCAGGCGGATCTCTGTGAGTTTAAGGCCAGCCTTGTTTACATAGTGAGTTCCAGGCCAGCTGGTGCTACAAGGAGACCATGTCTCAAAAGACCAAGAAAAGGGGCTGGAGAGATGGCCCAGAGGTTAAGAACACTGGCTGTTCTTGCAGAAGACCTAGGTTTGAATCCCAGCACCCACATGGCAGCTAACAACTGTCTGTAACTCCAGTCCCAGGGGATCTGACAACCTCTTCTGACGTCCACGGGCATTGCACGACACGGGTGCACTTACTTACATGCAGGCAATACATGCGTACACATAAAATAAAAAATAAATAAAATTTTTTTAAAAGTTACCAAAAAAAAGACCAAGAAAAAAAAAATGACATTTCCTGTTTTTTCCTCTGAGGCTACTAAAATGAGACTTAAAGTCAAACAAACAATATCATACTTGTAAATGAGTGGTAAATCCTCCACTTTCCCACATTCTTCATTTTCCAGTCCCCAGTGACTATTCACCTAGAGATTCCAAACCAGAGACCACCAAGGTGGGCCACCTGGGCTTTGGATATGACAGTTCTGGTCTGGCAGGATGCTGGGAACAGCAGAGTTGACAGACCGTGCTTGGTGCTGCTTGTACCAGCCCACTGTTCTCTGTAAGTCTCATTAGAAAGGGTCTAATGTTAATAAGTTACAGCAGATTGGACCAAGATTTGTTTGAGAGATCTCAAAATGACAATGACAACAGATAACTACCCATCATCTTGTTGGGTTGAGTCTGCTGATGGCCCAACCTCTCTTCCTAGAACTAAACTTTCCTTTTTTTTTTTTGGTCTTTTTGAGACAGGGTCTCCCTGTAGCCTCAGCTGTCCTGGAACTATGTAGACCAGGCTGGCCTCAAACTCACAGAGATCCACTTGCCTCTGCCTCCCAAGTGCTGGGACTAAAGGCGTGCACCACCATGCCTGGCTAAACTTTCCTCTTATAACTATTGTTTCATGCCTGCATTTGGACTGTCACTTTCTTTAGCTTCTGATAAGGTCCAGTTTTTGAATTCTAGCAACCCCCTTCTTAAGCTGCTGCTTCTCAGAGAAGAGGGAAGTCATCAGAGGAAGCCTCTGTCACTAACCATCACATATCTGACTCTGGAGTGACCTTTTTATTCTATTGAATTTTTTTTGAGGCTTACATTATTTGGGTGGACAACTTTTCCTACCAACTCTTCTACCTCTGTTCACTCTATGTTTTCTTTCTTTCAATGAGCTGAAGAGCAGCAATAGAAAAGCTGATAGAACTGATGCTGGGAAGTGTGTATGTAAACAGATACTGGAGTGCACAGTTGGTAGAGGTTAAAACCAGTACAGTCACTTTTAAATAAATAAATACATTTATTTTTATTTTAAAATATTTTTACTCATTTTTATTTTGTATATAAATGTATTGCCTACATGTGTGTAAGTGGCCCCATGTTGTACAATGCCCACAGAGATCAGAAGAGGGCATTGGATCCTCTGGAGCTGAAGTTATGGGTGGTTGTCAGCTACCATGTGGGTACTGGGAGCCAAACCCCAGTACTCTGAAAGCACAAGCAGTGCTCTTAATTGCTGAGCCATCTCTCTAGCCCCTGATTGATTATTTTTATTTTATGTGTATGAGTATTTTGCTTACATGTATATAAGTGTACCACATGTGTGCAATGCCTCCAGAGGCCAGAAGAGGGCATTGACTCCCCTAGATCTGGAGTTACGGATGGTTGTTGACTACCATGTGGATGCTGGGAACATAACCTGGTCTTCTGCAAGAGCAGCCAGTGCTCTTAACCACTGAGCCACTTCTCAGCCCCTGCTTAAATATTTTTGAGTTAAAGAAAATATGCAAATAATGGGGTGATAACAGTTTGTGTGTGTGACAGGGTCTTGCTATGTAAGCCAGGCTAATCTTGAACACATCAGATCTTCCTTTCTTAGCTTCCTTTTCTTTTTCTTTTTTTCTGGCATAGGGTCTTATGTAGCCCATTCTGGCCTTAGACTTGCTATGTAACAGAATGGCTTTGGACTTCTGATCCTCCTGCCTATACTTACAGGGTGCTGGGATTTCAGGTGTATGCCACCACGCCTGGCTTATGCAGAATATCAAACCTAGGGCTTGGCATATACTACTCATGCCCTCTACAAACTGAGCTACATCTCCAGCCCTTTTCCTACATTTTCTTCACTTGGCTGAAGAAATTCTCTGGTTTATTCTCTGGTTTATTCAAGAATTCCTGGAGCTATATCCCCAGAATTCTTGTGAATTTATTTGTGATTTTATACTTGAATATCAATCAAGTACAAAATGCTTAGGTCACCCCTCCTTTTACTTATAACTATTACTTTGTCACCTTCTGTGTTGTACCTTTGTCAGATGTTTGAACCAAGAAAGCATTGGTTCCACATTTTTAAAAAGTCTTTTTTTGGGGGGGTGGTCTTTTTTGAGACAGGGTCTCCCTGTAGCCCCAGCTGTCCTGGAACTCGCTATGTAGACCAGGCTGGCCTTGAACTCACAGAGATCCGCCTGCCTCTATCTCCCGAGTGCTGGGACTAAAGGTGTGTGCCACCACGCCTGGCTATTAAAAAAAAAAAACACTCATTTTTATTTATTTATTTATGTGTGTGTGTGTGTGTGTGTGTGTGTGTGTGTTTGGTGGGTGGAGGATGTGCTTCTAGAGGCCAAAAGAGGGTGTTGGATCTCTGGAAGTTGAGTTACAGGCAGCTAGCTGTAAGCCACCTGACATGGGTGCTGGAAACAAAATTCCTATGCAAGAGCAGCAGGTGCTCTTAACTTATGAGCCATCCTTCCAGCCCCTAGTTCTACATTTTTACTGAACTTATTTCCGTGTCTTCATGAGCAGCCTGTTTGTCTTGCTCTGGGTTTTTGAAGATTATTTCAGATTTTCTTGAGAGGATTTGGGCTACTTCTTTGTTGTGGTCCTTAAACCGAGAACAAGATTTGGTGAGTTTCAGGTATGTGCAGGCTGGTCACACCGGTTCTTTTTCTTTCCCCTAGGTTACCAATATCAAGAAGACACTCAAAGCTACTGCATCTTCCTCCGCTCAGGAAATGGAACAGCAGCTGGCTGAACGGGAGTGTCCCCCTCATACTGAGCAGAGGCAACCCGCCAAGAAGATGTCCAAAGTGAAAGGTCTGGTTTCCAGCCGCCACTAGGGCCGGCTGGGGCAGCTGGCACTCACCAGGCCTGGGTCAGGTTGGGAGGGGACACCAAGGGCCTATTTCTTCTCCTCTCTACCTGCAGTGAGTTCCAGACCTGCCCATCCCTTCACTAGTACCTCCCCGCCCATTGGTACCATCGCAGAAAAGTGATCGCTCCTTCCCTGCCTCCTTCCCTAGTTGTTCCCTTCAGACTCAGGGGCTCCACGGACACCATCTTAATAAGGTCCAACAGTGCCCAGCTTCCCTCTAGGAGGTCCTTGTCTCTGTGTACGGACTTGTCTCCCTCCCAGTTATTTTTTTGCTCCATGTCATCTTGTCAGGCTGGTCCTAAGCTGGAGGCAGTTTAACCAGCCCCCAGGGATGACTGTGGAGGAGAATCCTGTCTGAGCAAGGAGGGGCCCTTGCTTCTTCACTCCCATGTACCACAGTACCCACAATGGTGCAGGCGTCTCTAGCCAGGTAGCTACATGCTTCGTTTCCCTTCTCCTGCCTTACCCTTGTTGGCAGCGCTAGTTTAGGCCATGGAGGGATATGATGCTGGGCTATGTTTACTAAACCTTCGGGTTTTCAGCCTCTTAAGCCCAGCTCGGATCTCTCATCAAGTTGAGAGCGCTGGGTTGACAAACCTCTGGTGTCTGAGTACAAGTGGAGGGTGCTTGGGGTCTGTGGGTGGCAGAAGTTGTTTCTCCCAGCTTGGTGCCCTCTACTGGCCACTTTTCCTGCTGTCTCTGACTGCACAGCCATATTTTGGCATCTAGACCCAGCTGCCCACTGGGGTTGTCTGCCAACATTTGCTCTCCTGAGATCTTTATGACTCCTGGCTGCCCCTGCAGTGGGAATGGTGGTGCCGAGGCCCCTCAGTCTGGTGAAGGATCATTGCTGCTTCTGTCTCTTCTTCCCACCGCTCCTTGGCTGGTCACCCAGAGCCCTCTGATGATACCATACTCCTGGCCAGAGAAAAGGACTTGACTAGACTTTCTGAACTTGAACAGTTTCAGGTTATATCTTAATTTTTTTTTGTACAGGTTGATTCTAATACATTTCAACATGCTTTTTTCTCCCCTTGTGTTGATATTTGTTACAGACTAATCGCCGGGGATTTTTCACCTGGTTAGAGGGTGATTGTGTGTGTGTGTGTGTGTGTGTGTGTGTGTGTGTGTGTGGGTTTGTATGTTGCTTTGTTTTTATGAGGGGAGATGGAGGTCCTGAACTGATTTTAAACTTCATTGAGGAAAAGCACATTTTAGAACAACAACAAAAATAAAAGTGTAGATTTGATGTATGTGACTGTAGAGTATGGAGTTGTGCAGCTGTGGACTTGGAGGGCAGGAATTTGGGTGGTTCAGAGAAATGCGATATTGTTCAGTAGCATGGTTACAAAATGGGTTGATCCAATGTTAAAGTAGTCTTGTTTCCCTTTCATGTTGGTCCATGTGCTCATATAACACTATGCCCAATCAGAGCGTTAAGTTTAATTCTAAAAGTGTGTTTCATGAATCCCTGGACCAGATGCTCTGTGGAAAAGGGGTTCTGTTATTAAATAAATGTAGCACTCCCTGAATCCCAAATCCTCATTGGAAATTCATTACTAAGCTCTTGGAGGCATTCTGGGGACAAAGCCTATGCCCACATGGATTTCACCACTAAATCTCTTTGGCTATTGATATTTCTAATGGGACACATTTTTGGCAAGTTTTGGGAAACGTGCATTTCTCAAACCTTAAGAAAGACAGAACATCTCCCAGCCTCATAGGTTTTTTTCTGATTACCCTTTCTAGAACTAAAACAGGAATACACAATGGGTAAGCTACTGTTCATCCTTGCTTTTCCCACTGGAAAGTCAATTGGGAAAGGTGGTTTGTATGCCATGTGTGGCCATTTGTTTTGGCTGCTTCCATTGTCCCTCATCCTAAGGATCATCTCTACAGTTCTGCTGCTTTCTTGAAAGTGATGGCAATAATAACACACTGGTAAAGTACTTTCCAAATGTTCTGACATACAGGAAATCCTTCTCCCAATCCTTTGAAATTTGTCAGGGTATTATAGTTATTTTCAATTTATGTTGGAAGAAAGTAAAGGTTTCAAAATGCCCTGCTGGTAAGTGACAAAGAGAGAATTCTAACTGTAAGTGTCCTGCCATTATCTTGGTGTGACATTCTAGTTTGATAGTCTGCCCTCCAGCTGACCCTTGGTTTTACCTCTCTCCTGCTTGTTCTTCTGAGGACTTGTCTTTTAGCTGACAGCCTCCTAGACAACCTTCGGTAAGGAAAGAGAGAATATGGGAGAGGGGGCTCTAAAAATTGTGAGGACAGTGGCCCAGTTAGAATGATCATTATTCCTTTGAAACTCTAGTTGAGGGGCTGGAGAGATGGCTCAGTGGTTAAGAGCACTGGCTGCTCTTGCAGAGGACCCGGGTTCGACTCCCAGCACCCACATGGCAGCTACGAACCATCCTCAACTCCAGTTCCAGGGGAATCCGAAGCCCTCTTCTGACCTCCGCAGCATTGCACGACGTGGGTATACTCACTTTCATGCAGGCAATACACTCATACACATAAAATAAAAATAAGTAAAAAATTTTAAAAAAGAGAAAAAGAAAAAAGAAATTCTAATTGAGGCTTGCCTTCTGAGCCCTGCAGTTTCCCACCTAGCACAGCTGGTCTCAGGTCTGGGGTTTTGCAGGTCTTGGTAGTACATCTCTGAAATCCCAGTACTTAGGATACTGAGGTTGAAGGACCTCAAATTTGAAACCAGTCTGAACTTCATAGGGAGACCTTGTCTCAAAACAAGACAAACAATAAGAAAAACAAAAACCCGGAGGAGCTGTCCTCCTCCAGAGGCATCCTTAGATAGGAAAAGACTCACTGTGGCATTAAACACAATCAGCTATACTCTGGCCCAGCCCCTTTATCTGAGCTTTTTTGCCTCCAGACTCTCTTCTGCTCTTTACTTTATTTCTGGGTCCTCCTGGGGGTAATATTGGGAAGATGGTACAGACTATTCCAAGTCCTGGGTGATCACCACCACCAGCAGGATTCTCCTCCCCAAAACTCTGTGTCATAGAAAATGGGTAGTAATCAAAGAGGCTTCACCTCTGATGCTGCCTGAAATGAAATGGAATGTTCTAGTTCTTAAACTTAAATTCATTGTTCTAATAGCCCAAGACTTAAGAGTTTTATTTTTAAAAAATACATATACCTAGGTGTTTGAATATCAAGTCTAGTGTGCTTTGAGCCATCTGTGATGGCACCTGTGTCTTCTGGGGGTTCTTTGTGTAGGCATGAATATCTGCAGTAAGCTTATTACTAGAAACATGCAGTTGTGTTTGAAATACATGTTTCAATTTAAATTTCATTTTATATATCCTTTATATCATCCTTAGAGCAGTAAGTGGATTTTTTTTGTTGTTTTTTTGAAACAGGGTCTTGGTGTGTAGCCCAGGCTGGTTTTCATATCACCATCCTCCTGCCTTAACCTCCCTCTCAGATGTTGGGGTTGTAGGTGTATACCACCACACCTGGCTCTAAGTGAATCTTTTTTTTTTCTTTTTTGTTTTTTTTTTTTTTGGACAGAGTCTCCCTGCAGCCCCAATTGCCCTGGAATTTGCTATATAGACAATACTGGCCTGGATTTCACAGAGACCCACCAGCTTCTGCCTTCCAAGTGCTAGGATTAAAGGTGTGCACCACCATGCTCGGTCTAATTGAATCTTTTAAAATTTATATTTGCTAAGTAAATTGTCTGTGACTTGACCTTATGACAGTCTGTGTCATTTATATTTGCTAAGTAAATTGTCTGTGACTTGACCTTATGACATTGTCTTTGACTTGACCTTATGACGGTAAAGGTGGATGCTAATATATTTATTATGAAATTGATTTTTTAAATTAATTTTTTATTGAGCTTTTAAAATTTCATTTCCCACTCAAATCCAGACCTGACTCCCCCATTCATGCCTCCCCCTATCCTCCCACCGAACCCTATGCACTCTGCCATACATGCTGAGTCCTATTCATTCAAGGTGTTTATACCCAACTGTCCTTGAGTGTAAATGCGTCCACTGGAGTCTAGTCAGCCCATCCAGTGGTTGTATGTAAATCATGCTCTCCCTCATCCAGCAGCAATCAGTCTCAAATAGTTCTCAATCTAGTGCTGGCCCACCACCTATTTTTCACCTCCCTTTAGGGTCCTTGTGTCATTGAGCTGACATGGGTCCCACACTTGTTGCCACTGCTGCCACAGGCTCACATGAGCAAGCATCCAGTGACCTGGAAGCCTTCATCTCCCAGTAATCATGAACCAGCCCTGGCTCTTAAATCTTTCTGCCTCCTCTTCCACAAGGTCCCTGAGCCATGGGGGGTGGTGAGATTGCATATAGGAGTCCCATCCTACACTCTACAGTCTCTTATTCTCTAAAGCTTGGCCGGATATGGCCTTCTGTGTGCATTACACTCTGAGGTACAAGGGAGCCTCACTGGTGAGAGTTGAGGGGTGCATTAGCCCTCTCTGTCCCTTATTCCACTATGTTCCATGGGCCTTACTTGTAGAGATTCGACTGCAGATGTGTCACCTAGTCCTGGGCATCTCCCAGACGTATGTTCTGTGCCTCACAAGATGTGCAACTCTTCAGTAGCCTCCATCTGATGCAAAAAGAAGCTTCTGTGATAAGTGCTGTATGGCTGTTAGTCAGTCAAGGGAGGTCTCCTATCTGGCACTGCATTCCCTGGCAAACAGCTCCCAGGTATACATATTATATATATTAATGTTCAGATACTCTATGTGCATTTCTCATAGAGTTTCTAGGGCATCACTTTTCTTACTGTTAGAGATGAGAGATGCTATGGAAGAAATCGACAAGGAAGTAAATGATGAGCAAGCAAGATGAGGCAGGCTTACTCCTGGGGTCCTATATGACTCTTCTAAACACACTCTTGCTGTTGATTAAAGCAGTGGTTGTCTTCCCACTGCAGATTTTCTCCAACCTGACAGGGTCCTCAGAGCTGTTTTGCGAGAGTCCTGTGTCTCTCATTCTCTACAGTTGTCAGGAAGTTTCACCATTTTCTGACAGTGGTTTGTTCTGTCACATTGCTGACTATCAATGGATGATAATACTTTCTTACCTCATTCAGAAAATAGAAAACATTAGATGTGAAAACCGTTTCTTTTCTTCCAACTGCAGACTTTCCTACACCTTTCTTCCTTTGTTCTTACTGTAGTGGCAATGGTATCCCTTCTATATGAGTTCAGTTTCTTGGCCTGTACCTCTTTTTTCATGCGCTTGTTCATGTGAGCCTCTTTTTCTCCATTCACTGTGCCTTTCCTCCCACCTGTGCATCTTCAGCCTCTCTAGTGGCTGTATGTGATAAAATTATATCCTAAGTAGATCCTTCCTTAACCTGATGTCCTCTTGTATTAGTTACTTTTCTGTTGCTATGATAGAAACACTGACCAAAGCAACTTGTAGAAGGAAGAATTTATTTGAGCTTATAGTTCCAGAGGAATTACAGTCTGTAATGGAAGCGAAGCATGGTGGCTAGAGGTGGTTGGAGCAGGAGCAGAAAGCAGAGCACTCACATCTTTAAGCAGGTACAGAAAGCAAGAGAGCGACTCGAGATCCGGCAAAGCTTAAGAACTCTCTAAGCCTGCCCCCAGTGACATGCTTCCTCCAGCATGGCTCTAAGATCTCCCAAAACAGTGCTACCAACCAGGGACAAAATGCTCAAATACTTGGAGCCTATGGGGGAATGTTCTTACATTCTCATTCAAATCACCACACCTCTTCTACCTCCACTCTTTCTGTTTTAACAACCAAGCTTCTTCAAACTTGACTGCTTTTTCTGTCTCTGCTTCCTCCTCTTTGGCATCTGCTTCTGACCCCCCCCCTTTTTTTGTCAAGGACTGTCGACCTCTAACTTGCTGACCCTAGCAGCTTCTGGCTTCATTTTTATGTTACAGTTAGAACTGGTGAGCCCACTTGTTCATCTCTCGACTTTCATGATCCCAACATCCTCAGGCTTTCCCTGTGTTCCTGTGCCCACCTAAACTTTCTTTAGGGATATG